TACAGAGCCCGGCAAGGATAGAGAGGCGGCGCCTCCGCCCGGCCCTCTGTGGCAGGCGAGTGAGGTAAGGGTGCGCACTGCGCATGCGCGCCGCCCCGCGGAGCGGCCGTTAGAGCCGTTACGGGGCGGGGGCGCCCCCGCGGGCGCGTTGAACGCGGGGATCCCCTTTGGGGCGGGGGGGGCTGCGGGAAACGCTTGTCACTTCAGACACGCTCATCCAGATCCTCCGAGCCACGGAAATCAGTGGACCTCCGTAGGGAGGTATGTCACACTGCCACTTCAAACAAAAAACCTGAGGCACAGAAATGGGCCACAGGGAAGAACTGTATGCAGAAGTGGCTCCAGTTCACAGTTCCTGGAATAAGTCACGGCCCATAGTGTGGCTGCTTGCGAGATGAGGGGTTTGCTAGAGGACCRACCATCTCCAGAGTCTTTGGACTCCCTGCCAAGCAACACAGCACGGCCGATGGGCCCCTTCCCGCTATCAGGCTCCAGAGAGACAGCAACCRTTTCTTTGTAGGTGAAAGATCACCAAATGTTAGGCCAAAAACGTGGCACAGGCTGTGCAGATGTTGGAGAAGGCTGGGGGTGATCACACCTAGAAGCAGGGCAGCTGTGTGTTAACGAGAAGCGGGTGATGACACACCCACTTACAAAGTACCTTGGTTCTGCCCTCCCAAGAGGAGCTGATCCCACAGCAGCCCAGAACGCTTCTCAGCTCAACACGGCCTTCTTATCCCTGTATTYGTAAGATCTTTGCGGCCAAGAGGAGAGATGCTCCCTGTCCTCCCTGCTATGCTGTGCACCCAGAACTCCCATCATTTGCCCTCACCTTGTTTTCCAGTCTCCCAACATCAATTTTCATAGCGAAGCTGAATTTGTTAAACCAGGGACAAGGGTTTCTTATAGACAAAAGTTTCACTTCTGTTGCTTAAAATGCTACCCAATTCCATGTGAGCAAAAAATGGTAAATTGAATAGGTAGATTCTAAATTAGCTAATTATGGTAAATAATATTCATTTAAGAAATTTGTGTAGCACACATTTGGGTTTTTTTTCAGTATTACAATAAACAGGCCTTTGCCTGGCAAATGTCTTGGTGCCACATTCTAACTCAGTATAACTTTTTCTTTTTTTAATAATTATTACTTCTGATTTCAGGGATGGCATTTGTCTGTCTGAAGCTACATAAATGGCAAGAGGTGCAGCCTCCTTGTTTAAATATTTCTTCTTCTAGACGAAAACAACACTGTAAATCTTATCCTCCCTTTTTTGCTGCAAACATTAACAGTGCAAGCAACTGAGAGGCTTCCTCACTGTGAAAAGAATAGGTAGCACATTGGCTTTTTTTTTTTCTGTTGTAAAATAGGAACTTTCCCTGCATAGCAATACATTCCTCTGTCATGTAATCAGTGTTAATGTTTGTTTTTATTTTTTTTCCTGTTATCACACGATAATTTCTCCAGTCTCCTGCAGAGCCATTTGGAATAGTTCAGTTATCTTAAATACACGTACAAACTGTTCCATAAGTAGCAGAACTAATGAGGCCCGGCTTCCTATGGATTTGTGTCCTTTGTTGCTGTAATCCCGACAGCTATCCCAGCACCTTCCTTCCTACTCATCCTGTGCTGCTTTCCCCCTCAGGGAGGGGGTTAGTCCTGCACTGTGCATGCAGAGAGATCACGTGAGTTCCCTCTTTTCCAAACAGCGGGCAATGCCCATTGCCCTCCTCTGCTTCTCGTAAAACCTGAGGGTTTTTTGCTTCCTCCTTAAATRTTGAGAAGTTACAAG